CTTCTTTGCCGACCTCCATGTTTGCTTCAAGCTTGAAACACCCACTTTTGATCTAGTCACAGAAATGACTAGCTTCCTTCATGAAAGTTTCTTAGTGGTTCACAAGGAGTAAGGTTCACCTATCATTTTCCCTTTAGAAGCCTTGTGTGGGAAGAAAATCCTTTCCTAAGAGTGGGGCGTCATTTTGGTTTTGATGCAGGGAGAGTGTTTCATCTCTTGAAAGCTTGCAAAGTCTCATTGTCACACTTATTTAAGGCTTTGAGGTAAGAACCTACCATTTCTCTTGAGTTTTCATAAAGATTTGATAACTTAGGTTTTGAGAAATTATGGATTTGTAGTCTAGGAATTTGAAACATATTTTGATAGTGGTTTTGTATGTGATTGGTGATGTAGTGTTCAGCCAAGTACGATCTTGGTGGAGGATCAACCTTTGGAGCATCCAATTGGTTAAGATATGGATTCTTGAATATTTCAAGAACATGGTGAGTTGTTGAATTTGAGTTCTTGGTGAAATTATAGCTATTAGATTGATGTTTGATGTATAATATGTATTATTGCTCACACTCACACCTTTTAAATAGGTGGAACTAGTGTGGAAGATAGGTGACTTTGTCTCTTGGATATTGAGAAAGATTTGGAAAGGAAATCTCAAAGAGGTAAACTCTTGGATCTTAGGGATTTATCCCTTTTGTTGTTCCACCGTGCTCCTTTGGAGCTATGGTTTCATATTGGATGATTGATGGTTTGTTAGTTATATGGTATGGTTGCATTCATACAGAGTTGTTGTGTGTGGTGTACGGACCAAAGCACAAGCATAGGGGGCTAGATTGTATAATTAGTGTATGGACTGTCATACAATTGAATGCTAAATTGATTGTTTAATTCTTTGGACATTTGACATGTGCATGGACCTCCCTTTAAGAGATTTATCCTAAGACGGACACTCGCTTTGAGAGATAACTTATCATAGTGATCCCAATGTATCGGGTGCACAAGTTGTCTTGAAAGTTCCATACGGACACTAACTTTGAGATGCAACATATTGGAGTGGTCTTAATGTATTGGGTGCACAATTAAAATCAATTTTATGTTGCCTTTGCTTATATGATACTTGATATGTCATGTGTACTAACCTTTCATGCAGGAAGTGAGCTCATGGGTGGAAGAATCCTCCAAAAACCCTGAGTTTATTAAGATAATTATCTCACCTCTTTTGGGGTATCATATTTTAGGTACTTCAGGTGAGGGAGGTAGAACCTCACAGGGCAAGAAGCCCGTATAAAGCATGAGGGCTCTTTTGTTTTGGGATTTGGACATGTTGATGTTTATGTATATGTTTTGAAAAATATGTTGCAAAGCCATATACATTTTGAATACCCTATATTTTGGGAGAAACTTGTATAGTTTAGGTTCAAGGTTTGTAATTATGGCATATGTAATCTTTTTGAGTTTGAGTATCACATTATTTAATTATGCTCAAATGATGTATACATGAGACTTATGATGTTTTACATTGAAGTTTATGTACGGAAAAATAATTGATGTAAATTAATGGGTTGAAGCCTTACTTGAAGAATACATGGATGGATTATATGTAATGAGCTTTTGGATAGTCAGGATTATGTATGGAATATACAAAAATTGTATATAATGTTGAATGATTGGCTGAAGGCCAAAACTTATGGATTCAATGAACACAAAAGATGTACATTTTGTCTTTGGATAGTAAATGGATGTATTTTATAAGAAAAATGGTCAATTAGTTATTAAATGAACTTGGAAAGCATCCCAAATCATCAAAGTATAGTTAGGTGTTGTCCATTTTGATTCTGGCCAACATGATAGGCGATTACCATACATTGGTAATCGATTACCTCAAAACAAATGACATAAATTCCAGCTTATGTCATAGGAAGGTAAGGGTCAACTTAGAAAGTCCACAACTAACTCAATTCTTAACCAAATGAGACATGTGAGTTATCAAATTAAAGCTTATGATGTCTCCTTTCGTTTCCTAGAATACTAGAATGTTCTGGTTAGTGAGTCATTCTCAGTTTTCAAAAGAATAAACGGTGCCCGAGTTCATATTTCGAATTGCTAAGTTCTGGCATTTTTTGTAAAAGTCATATCTCCCTCGTTGCTTAACCAAAAAGGGAATATTATATATCATTTTAAACCCCCAAAATTCTAGTTTCTTGTATATAAATTTAAGAACTTTTGAATATCAAACGCATTCCCAATTTGGTGAGGAATCAAAGCTGCCAGAAATCATATTTAGCTTTCTATCAAGAATTTAACATCATATTTTGAAAGGATCTTAACTCTTTCAATCCTTACCCAAATACAGCAAATGATGTGTCATTTTAAAGCTCTAGATGTCTAGTTTTATGTGTTCAAGTATCAAAACTAAAAGAGCTAAGGCAAGTTTGTACTTTAGATTAGACTATGGGCTGTCAAAATTTCATTTGCGCTGTTTGTCGTGGGATCTTGATAATTGTTGGACTGATTGTTTGGGCTATTGTTTATATGATAAGTTATTATTAGACATGAATGTGCTAGTCTAAATTATTGTTAGTTGAATAGCAATGTAAAGCAATATTATGATTCATTATTAATTAATCTTTTTTGCATTTAATACCATGATAGATTTAATTAATACACTGGGTATACACAAGGTGTTACATTCACGCATTAAAAAAAAGGGAGGCCAACAAATTGAATCCCAAAAAGAGGTAAGCACATCAAATTATAAGCAAATAGGTCCTGAATCATATAATCAAGGCTCTAACACTACTTGAAGAAATTTTTTTATCGATAAATCAACAAATTATATGAAATATAGAACATCAATCGATCAATGCTACATATATCATTTCAAGGCACAATCCTTACTCTCACAAAGTTGTTCTGCTCTGTGTAGGAGATGAGTGAACAAATAAGGCGACACCAAGAATTGTGCTAAACATGGTCTTCCTCCCACTACTTCTCATATTGTGCAACTATTCAATAGGGCAAGCTCATGGTGAAAAATCCTAAAAGTGTACGAGATCTAACAACAAATATAATTATTTACATAACATCTAGGGGTGTTCGCGGTCTGGATCTGATTGATTTTGGAAGCAAAAATCATCTGATCCAATACCTTCGGTTTGATTATATAATCATCCATTTGGTTTGATTTTTTTTTTCAAATCCGATCCAATCAAATCCAATTTTTTTCGGTTTGGATTGGATCGGTTTTTGATTTTTTGAAAATTCTAAAATTTGTTGCATGATTATTGTGCAAATAACATCTTTTGTATATATTGGTTTTGTAATTTTTTTTTTTTTTGAAATACAAAAGCAACGATAATATAGTTTTTTTTTTGGGCAATGAGATATGAAGCTCTACACAGATGAAATTTGGTTGATGAGATGTGACTAGGTTTTTTATTGAGTTTAATTGATGGGTTAATGAGTTTTGAGTTTAAATTTTTTGGGCTATGATTGGGGAAAAGTCCAAGTAGGTAGAGGAAAATTAATATATTGGGTCGATTTGGATTGGGTCGATTTTCATCAATCAATCCGAAAACCGATCCAATCCAATTAAAATTTGTGATTTTTTTTCGATTTTTGATTTTTCGATTTTCAATTTATTCGGTTATCAGTTTTTCTGTTCTGTGACCGCGGTTTGAATCAGTTTGGATCGATTGATGAACACCCTTAATAACAACCCACACATCATGGGTTATTATTTAATGACCTATACTCTGCCTATAGCCACACTTTTATCATAAAATAGTTGATATGCAAATCCTAAAAATTTAATTGGATCACACTTTTATCATAAAAGAGTTGATATGCAAATCCAAAAAATTTAATTTGATCACATTTAATAATGGGATAAATCATGTTTGTCTTTTAAAAATTAACCGACCATATTATCCACTCATTTATTATAAAACAAAATTAAGAACTAATAGTAGCGCGCAAAATAAAACACTAACTTTCTAGGAATCTTGGAAGAGCATCGATTCCTTGACATAAAGAATGGAACATATGAAATTTACCACTAAGCCAATGTCATTTTTCAATCATAAATCTTCTAATATTATATTTATCATTCAACCAATGAATTAATAATTGAATCACTAATCCATTGACATAGTACATAAAGTTGAGTCAGTAATCCATTGACCCAGTACATGGATCTAGTCGTTAAGTGGTGAGTTAAATAACACAACTTTTGACTAGAATTATCAGCTGGAGATAAAGAAATTAATTTGCCCTTGGTTGAATATACGTCAAAGAGAGGAGAGTGAAGTTTGACCCCAATTTTTTCATTCAATATGTTTAGATCTTTAACCATTATGTATGTTTGTCACCTAAATCCTCCAAATCAAAATTAATTTCATTTCTGCCCTTTATCTGATTTATATCGAATTCAATTCAATCCCAATTATAAGTTCATGTAGAATTAATTAGCAGATTGGTAGTTCATGTAGAATTAATTAGCAGATTGATAGTTATTTCTACAATTTTTTATTTTTTTCGCAAGGCATTCTCCTGTCGGTAGTTAAAGATTAATTCTTTTGAAGCGGAAGATGAGGAAATCTCTCTTAATAAAGTCTATTCCATATATACTACCAGGATTCAAATCCCTATTAATATACTTAAGAAATCCAACTATTTATTTTGTTGGTATTATTTCAACAATTTCAGTGGAAAAATTCTCATAATTTCACTACACCACTCAATACGCTTGCCAAAATCCACGTCATAGCACAAGGAAGTCAAAAAGTGTTAATGATGACACAGCCATTTTTCTACGTCCATATCTGAAAGCAATTACTCTCATTGGTTTCAAGTCGAATCCAAGAACTAGTCAATACCTAAAGCTGAGGGTGACATTCCTGTTGTTTTCTTCTTCTGCTCTTACCTTTGTTCTTATCTTCGTAAGTCATTTGTAACTGTCTTCTAACCCATTTTAATGCATTGAGAACACTATAAGAAAACTAGGACAAATTCTCTTCTCAAAATATTGTGTCCCATCTTTAATCTCTCCCAAGTTCAGATCAACACCATGGATTTCCTTTCACAACCAACAATTATAGTGGTGGCTATAACTTTAGTGCTTCTCTACAATATATGGAGAATGAAAAAAACTAGTCAGAAAGTCAAATCACTTCAAGCACCAGAACCATCAGGTGCCTTGCCTTTAATAGGTCACCTTCACCTACTAGGAGGCCAAATACCCCTTGCAAGAACCTTTGCTGCTTTGGCTGATAAATATGGACCCATCTTCCAAATCCGTGTAGGAGCATACCCTGCCCTTGTGGTTTGCAACCAAGAGGCAATAAAAGAGTGCTTCACCACAAATGACAAAGTTTTAGCCTCACGCCCAAAATCTAGCCATGGAGTTCACCTTGGTTATAACTATGCAGGATTTGGATTTGCTCCTTATGGCACATATTGGACCAAGCTAAGAAAGCTAACCATGCTTGAACTACTCTCTGCTCGCCGCCTCGAATCATTGAGGCATGTTTATGAATCAGAGATCGATACTTTGATCAATGATCTATCGTTGTATGTTGAGGGCAACACCTCGGTTGTGATAAGTGAATGGTTGGAACGCTTTACCTTCAACTTAATCACAAAGATGATTGCAGGGAAAAGGTATTTCAGCTATTTGCAAGATGTGGATGATGTAGAAGCACATGGTATTGTGAAACTTATAAAAGAATTCATGCATATATCTGGCGAGTTTGTTCCCTCAGATTTGATTCCAGTTCTTGGATGGTTTGGTATGCACGGCCAAGTGCTTAAATCCATGAAACGAATTGCAAAAGATTTGGACACCCTTGTTGGAAGCTGGGTAGAAGAGCATAAGGAGAAGGGTGATATCGTGAATAATTCAAGTGAGAAACATGATTTCATTGATGTCATGCTGTCTGTTATTGAAGATGATCCTGCCTCTGGTCATACCCGTGACGCTATCATCAAGGCAAATATTATGGTAAGCATTTTCTCTAGTTTTTTAAACCCTGCAATATGTTTTTTATTTTGACTATGTTTATATGTTTAGTTATATTCAATATGTTTTTATGTGTTGGTTATTGATAAGTTGTTACTTTAACTTAAAATACTTAGGATTTCAACTCTAATTTTTTTTCGCGTGAGTTTGTATAACTAAACTAACAGCGTATTTGGTTGAGATTCATCTCAACGCAAAGAGCTTTTACATGATGCAAGAAAATTTTACATTGATCATGTGGCTATTTGATGGGGTTGAAAACCTAAAACAGAGGAAGTCTTAAGTTCAGTGAGTTTTACAAAATTTTGACACATTTTTATAATATTAAAATAAAACAAAAGGGAAATTTATACCATTAATATCAAGCTATGCCATAAAAGAAAGAAAGAAACCATTTTTCAACTTACTGGAAAGACCATTTTGGGATAAAAAACCATTTTTCAAATTTTTTTTTTTTTTTTTTGGTACAATGCAAGTTGTTACTGTATAATTGTAAGGTATAGGATTTGGAGTCCTATATAAGAAACATAAAGTTCCAATATGAAATTTATATATAATTTGGGCTTTCTAACCTTAGGAAGATAACTTTTGGAGTGAAGCTCTCCCTAGATCATCATCACTTCTGCAGAAGAAGAAGAAGTTCTTAATCAAGTTACTTACTTGAGTATTGCAATTCAAGTTTGTAGAAATTCAATCCTTTAAACCAGGATTAAAAAATCAGTCCTACCCGAACTTGTCTAACAACGCTGCAGACGCAGACAACATGGAGAAGTGTTTCACTCTTTTCCTGACAAATAGCCTGGAGCATCTCTCCCTTACGGGAAAAGGGTATTATTCCTCCCTCTCCAGACCAACATATTTACCCTGATCCTGTGCCCAGAGAGCTTGCGAAGTATTCTAAAATGTCCAAGCTAATTTAGCAAGAAAAGCTTCATTCATTTCAACCAACCGTTTTGAACAAAGCCTGCCTACCTTCCATTCTTAACTCTGTTGAATCCTCTCTATCTGTAAGCACACATTTAGTGGAAGCTTGTCATTTTGCATATGAAAGTATGGATTGTCCATGCTTCTAGACAGTGCCCCTAATTACGGACGCGCTTGAACCCACTTTGCTTCGTCAAGTTACTAACCATCTCCTCTCTTTCAAAATGATTCTCCTTCTTCTCTGTCTAGCCACAAACTAACAAAGTCATAGACTAGAAAGTCTACAAACAAGGTGACCAAAACATGATGTTAAACCAAAGTTAGATTATTTAAGATGCAAACTCAATTGGGTGTCTCTCCTTCAGCTTCTGTTTGATTATTCTTACTCCAAAATCAGACATGAATTCCATTCATCTCCTCCTTTCTCTGTTTCTATTGGTTGCATTTTCCAATCAGCATATGGTTTATGGAAATGCAGAGGTTAGAGTTCTGATGGACTTGAAATCCTCTCTGGACCCAGAAGGAAAGATCCTTAGCTCATATGGTTTAGAAAAGTAGATGCTACGCTTCTATCTGGAAACTTGCTCAAATAAAATTAATACATTTAAGCACCACCTCAACTACTCTTATGATGCTTTAATAAATAGAAACAGATCATCAGTGAACAACAAATGGGAAATATTAGGACCACCACGGCCAGCTTTGATTGGCTTCCAAAGCTAGCCACTCATTGCTATAGAGATTATGTGAGTAAGTTTCTCCATTGTCAGAACAAACGGTGACATGGGATCCACTTGACAAACACCCCTAGATTATTGATAATTCTCTGTTTTTCACCCCGTGCAAAAAAAATTTAATAGACAAAGTGGAAACAACATATATATTTAAATCAATCAACCTATCTGGAAACTATAATTAAATCCAATTAATCCTTTCATCGGCTTTCTCAAAATCTATCTTAATGGCCATGAACGCCTTCTGCCCCCTCATCTAGTGCGTACTATAAATCAGTTCTTATGCAATTGAAATATTATTATGGATCTGCCTTTTTGGAGCAAAGCTAGCCTAAAAAGGCGATACAGTCTTAGTAACCAACTTGTACATAACTAAACACAGCGAGATTGGTCTGAATTGCGACGTAAGGGAAGGTGCCTTTGTCTTGGGGAAGCAATCTGCATGATGTGGTATTATATAGGAAGAGAGGTGGTATTATAGGAGCCTATTTTAAATAGATTATGCATTATCTCTGTTCCGGATGGCCCAACGACATACCCAAAGGTTTAAGCCCAAAACCCTTATTCACGTAAGCCCTACTAACACCTGGCTTCCCTACCCCCAAAGCGACGATGCTTCCTAGATGAGAAACCAAAATGTCTCATCTTGGGATGGTAACCCCCAAGGAGACCGCCTCAGGTACTATAAGAGGTAATTGCCCTTTGTCACATGCTGACATCGCCAAGCATAGGGGGTGCATCACTGCTACCATAGCAGTGCCTGCCACCCTTAGCAGCGCCTGCTACCCTTAGCAAATCCCAAGGAGGGTTGACCCCCTCCTCACCAACCCATACAAGATTAATATCACCTTCCCCTATAAAAAGGGTTGTCCACACACAAGGAGAGGAATCTTATGTATCGTTATTCTGCCCATTTATCTTGAGTCATATACATACACATCTCATCCCCATTATCGTCTGTTAGCTTTATACTTGAGACTATATCTCCTAGCTTGGTCTCTACCTGTGTTGGAGGTATAACACATACAGTGACTCTATCCCAGAAGGGAACATAGTGGGCTTATAGACCCCTAACGGTACATTGGCGCCGTATGTGGGAAACTATAAACTTCTATTCCCACTCTCTTTCCAACGATCTACAGAAGGAAGATCTTTCACCCTGAACGAAATATGGTAGTCACTACGAGGAGAACACATCAGCCAAGAGCTACCATCCCCGAAGTCCATGTACAAACGGTCCACTCCAGTTCCCCACCATCCGTACAATCAGCTCCGGTCCAGAAAGCAGCAGCCGAGGGTCTCTCGCCGGTACTGCAGTCTGTCAACTCACAGTTGCTGATGGATGATGCTAGAGTAACACGGTTGGACCGTCACGTGGCCATACGTGAGGTTCAAGCAGAAAACTTGGTCCCAACTCAACCCCTACCGCTTGGAGTCCTCTACGGAATGCCACTCCCCGTCACAGTTCCACCTCCTGTATATCAACAACCGCTCAGAAGCCAACCTACGGTTATGTACAATGACCATAGAATCCCGATAGTCACCAGATATCCTCCCGGACCTTACACCCATCACATGGGTGCCCCTTACCCCATACCGCCTGTAGCTGCAGGGGTCCCATTCCATGGTTATGTAGTACCACAACACAACCCAGCCGTCCCACAACCTCAAGCATCATATATGGTACCACCTCTTCCCCAATATGGCATCCATCACGCCCCAGCTCTCTCATTTTCAGTGGAGGCCCCTCAAGCACACTGTCTGCGGCCAGACGCACACTCGCCCAACCTGAATGTGCGTGCCACACCCGTCAATACCTCTAGACGTAACAAACCCTTAACAGATGACCTTCGCCTGAACCCCATACCTTTGGGCTTTAAAGGTCCTTCCAATATCAACACCTACACAGGAGATACGGACCCCTTTGAATGGATACAGAAGTTCGAAGCGGCAATGACCCTCCATGGCGAGACAGACCTCCTCATGTGCAAGACATTTACTACACTTCTGGGCGGGAGAGCGTTGGCATGGTACACCACTTTGCCAACTGGGAGTATCGCTTCTTGGGACGATTTGGTTGGCAAGTTCTAAACTCACTTCGCGATAAGTTTCCCAGTACGCAAATCAATCCATTTGTTGGAGAAAATCCACAAGCACTCAGTCCATTTGTTGACAAAGAGGCTTTACTTGTGCACGGTCTTGACCCTAAAGTGCAGGTACACATACTCTTGTCAGGCTTGAGGCAAGGAACGTTTGCTTATGAACTCGCCCGCCACGAAATAACAGACCTAGAAGAGGTCAAGAAAAAGGCCTAAGAGTTCATGCGGATCGAAGAATACAAGGGGAGCAGATCCGATGCCGGGCAAAACCGAGAGAAAAAAGCGGGCAAAAATAAAGACCAAGATGAGGAGGATAAGAAAACTCACAAGTCCTCTAGATATACAGGTCGCCCCGTCGGGCGTGGCCCTACAGGACGACAATCTCACAGTGTACTACAAACTGAATATAACGAGGAGCGTAAGACCTACCCACAACGCCAAGAGCCAACTAGGATGCCCGCCACCTACTGCAAATTTCACCGCTGTAACGGCCACAACACTGAAGAATGCAGATATCTTAAAGAAGAGATTGATGAATTGATTAAAGGAGGAGCCCTAAGAAAGGTTAGCAATTCAACACGTGAAGTTGGCCCATCCAGGCGTCGCCCAGAGCGTAGTAGGTCACCTAAAAGGAGGAGAGCTAACCAAGCTGATTATAGACCCTCCCGCCGTGAACGCAACCAAAGGGAGGGCTCCCCAAGAGGCCACAGGGAGCAAACCGGTCCAACCACCAGAGGGAGACATGAAGAAGAGGAAGACTCCGCTGTCATCAAACATGGTGTCAAAAACATGATCTCCGGCAGCTTGAGTGGAGGCGGAGAAACAGCCAACTCCTGAAAAAGGCATTTGAAGCAGTGTTTGGCGGTATCTGGCAAAACCATCACCAAAGCAAAAATTGCAGTAGGCTCCGCCAAACCAATGATCGTGTGGGATAGCAATGAGTTGGGCGATGTTCTTCCGGGGCATGATGATCCCCTAGTCATTCAAGCTATAATCGCCAACTTTGGCGTGAATCGAGTGTTCGTTGACCATCGTTATTCTGCCCATTTATCTTGAGTCATATACATACACATCTCATCCCCATTATCGTCTGTTAGCTTCATACTTGGGACTATATCTCCTAGCTTGGTCTCTACCTAGAGGTATAACCCATACAGTGGCTCTATCCTAGAAGGGAACATAGTGAGCTTATAGACCCCTAATGGTACAATCTCCTTGACCTGGAAGGCTATTATGGAAGATCAAGCAAGCAATGTAAGGAACCAGCAGAGCCCGAGGGTTGGCAACCATTTAAACCCAACCAATGATGTCTTCCCTATTGTTTAAAAATCTTACTTAAAATTTATTAACAATAGACACACTAGTGATGCATATAAAAATTATAATTTAAGTATTAAATTGATCATCTATTCAAAAACTGCTTCAACCCGTGCTTGAATTTTAGAAAAATAAGTTTGCAAAGCAATCAAATAAGTAAAATTAAAATTAAACTTTCAGATTACCAAAAATATAAAAAAATAAATAAACTTTATCTATTACATCACAGTTTTGAATGCATTTACAATTTATAAATGCAGATTGATGACATCTAATACTTGTCGAAATATTAGTTATTATTATTATTGAACAAGTGAACTTTTAATGTTTAGAATCTTATGTTAGCGGGATCAGACACTACATCCACGACAATGACATGGATCCTAGCCATATTGCTAAATAACACACATGCTTTGGAGCGTGCACAAAAGGAGATTGACCATCACGTGGGTAGGGACAGAAGGGTGGAAGCATCTGATATTAAAAACCTAGTTTATTTGCAAGCCATTGTCAAGGAAACTTTAAGATTATACCCACCTGGGCCTCTATTGGTACCCCACGAAGCAAGAGAAGATTGCTATATTCAAGGCTATTATACACCTAAAGGGACCCGTGTGTTTGCCAATGTGTGGAAACTACATAGAGATCCAAGTATTTGGTCAGAGGCTGAGAAATTTTTACCAGAGAGGTTTATCAACAGAAATGGTGAACTTGATGAAAGTCACAATTTTGAGTATCTCCCTTTTGGATCAGGGAGAAGAGCTTGCCCTGGATCAACGTTTGCCACACAAGTGAGTCTCATGACACTTGCTCGTTTGCTTCAAGGATTTGATCTACACACGCCAATGGATGAACCTGTTGATATGAGAGAAGGCTTGGGCATAACCTTGCCCAAATTAACTCCGTTACAAGTTCATCTGACCCCACGACTACGCTGAAAACTCTATCACTGATACATAGATTATTTTGTTTATTCTTCTTCTTGTTTGTGCGTGTGATATATATATATATATATATATTATTTTGTTTATTCTTCTTCTTGTTTGTGCGTGTGATATATATATATATATATATATATATATATATATAGGCAAAATGATTTCTGCAGCTGCTGTACCTACAGCAAGCAACGATACACGTCCGAATCCTAGGATACGACAACGGATCCTGAGTTGTTTTTATTTTTTTTTTAAAAAGCCGTGGGGCCCACTTTTCTGTGTCAGCTGTAGATAACACTATCTACGGCTGTTGCAGAAATGTTAAGCCCATATATATATATATATATAGAGGAAGGTTATAATTACAACTTTTTTTTATATCCTCTTACAACCATATCTTGTCACCGTTGATTTCCGTTAATCAATAGTTATCATTTATTGTGAATTAATAATTAATTAATGAATTTAATTTGCTAAAATGATAACGGTTGATTGGCGGAAATCAACGGTGACAAGATATGGTTGTAAGAAAAAAAGGTTGTAACTATAACCTTGCTCATATATATATATATATATATATATATATATATATATATATATATATATATATATAGGGTTTGGTGTTTGTCATTTTAAATGACATAAGTTATGTCATTTTAGGAAAGAGAGATAGACACAGAAAGAGGGAAATTATGGGAGAGAGAAAGTGAGTGGTTTTTTTAATTTAAAATTGTGTGTCTGTATCTCTCTTAAAATGACATAACTTTCTGTCATTTAAAATGACAAACACTTTTCCCATATATATATATTTATATATATATAAGGTTATATTTTCTTATGAATTTTTGAGCATAGACTCGATTAGGAATGCATTACCGAAAATATATAGTATAATTTATAAAAAAAAAATTGTAAATATAATTTATCCCTATATATGTATTGTGTCTTGTGAGTAAAACATTCTAATATCCATGATTGATATGTGATAAACGATGAAGTATATACAAATTAATTTCAACAATATTTGATTGGAGTGGTTTTGGTGCGACAGAAATCTTTTTTTTTTTTGTATATATAGGAAAGAAAAGGGAATTACATAGCAAAGTTCCTGGGCAACATAGTGCCCTTCCTATCATCTAACACCAACTGAGCACAGCCCACAGGGCAACTATCATGCCATTGAGTATCCCAAACGTACTGCCTACCACTAGAAGCCAGTCAATCAGCCACTTGGTTGCTCTCCCTAAACACACGGCCAATCTCAACCCTCCACTCTTGGTCAATCATATCTTTGATTCTGGAGACCATCTCCTGGCAAGGATGAGTCTGCACACAACCTTATTTCACGAGTAAAACAGCCACCAAGGAGTCACTGTAAATCATAATTTGTTTATAACCATGCCCCCAAGCCCAATTTAGGCCAATCAGGATACCCCAGAGTTCTGCCATCAACACCGATTCAGGGTATAGTCTCTTGTAGAAACCTGAAATCCAGTTGCCAAATTCATCCTTGGCTACCCCACCACAAGAAGCAGATGCCAATTTCTCAGAAAATGCCTCATCAGTATTCAATTTAATCCAACCAGGCCAAGGAGGACACCAACTCACCACAAACTCATCATGTTCCACAGGAACAAGACCAGCTGCAGACAGCATACCATTGGCAGTGTTGATATTAGCAACATAGATAGAAACTTGAGAGAACAAACCTTGGGGGGATGAACTTTGATTGTTGAAGACTAAGCTGTTTCGATCCTTCCACATCAGCCAGCAGATCACACCAAAAAGGAGCCTCCATTCTTTGTTGTTTTTCCTCCTATGTAGATTCTTAGCCAGCCAACTCACCAAATCCAGCTCAAGAAAAGTCTTCATATCATTGTTGTCAACCCTAAATTTCCAAACCTCACCAACCCAAGGACATCTTCGAAAAATATGATCTGCATCCTCCACTGGATTCTGGCATCTAGGACAAGCTTCCAAGGATGAAAAGTGCCTGCGAAATCTTTCAGCATTTGTTAGTAACTTATTCCCAGCAACCAACCATAGGAAGAATTTGATCCTTTGGGGGCGTTCCCATTTCCATATAGTATCCCACTGCAAAGAAATAGAGCTCACACACGGAACAGTAAGCAAATTATAAGCAGATTTAACCGAAAAGGCACCAGAATTAGAGGGACTCCAAATTATCCTATCCATCTCCTCACAAAAAGAGGAAGGCCTAATTTTCTCAATAGCCACTAGAATGTCTTTGCTAAGGAAAGAGGTGAACCTGTCCCACACCCAACTACCCCTCTGGACACAGTCAAAAACTTTCCAATTCTTCATAGCATCAGGAATATTTGATAATGACCAGTCTACCAGCCTACTAATATTGGGCACCCACCTATCATACCAAAAGGAGGTGTTTGAGCCAGACCCAATGATAATCCTAGACCCCTCCAATACCTGATCCCATACTTTCTGAATGCCTCTCCATGTGTTGGAAACACAGCTGCCTTTATAGAGAATTGGCTTAAAAGAATCCTCCACCTTATACTTATTACGAAGCACCTTAACCCACAATCTATCCTTGTTAGAAAGGATATCAAAACCCAGTTTCATGGAGTAGGCTCTATTAATGAGCTTCTGATCCCTGAAGCCTAATCCCCCATCTTTCTTTGGTCTACACACCCTATTCCAGCTCACCAGATGAACCTTCCTCTGGCTTTGAGAAGATCCCCAAATGAAATTCCTGGTTATCTTCTCAATCTCATTGCACACCCCCAACGGTATAACAGAGGACTGCATAGAGTAAGCAGGCATTCCTTCCAACACTGATTTAGCTAAAATAGACCTGCCAGCCAAAGAGAGGGAAGTCAGATTCCACCTGGAAAGTCTATCCTGCAATCTGTCAAGGATATTCCTGAAAGTTCCCCTGGTAGTTCTCTTATGATGGAGGGGTATGCCAAGGTATTTCCCTAGATCCGAGGTGATCCCCATCCCCAAAATCTCACTGATTTCATTAGCTTTGCTGAAACAAACATTCTTTGAGAAAAAACTCTAGTCTTATCCTTGCTCACCTTCTGACTTGAAGCATCAGCAAAAGTCCTCAAAACCTGATTGATCACCTGAGCTTGCTCTATACTGGCTTCAGCACAAAGAATAATATCATCAGCAAATAGCAGATTAGAGATAGGAGGTGCTTTCTTCCTTAAGGAAATAGGCTTCCAGGCCCTAGAGTCAACTGCCACCTGGATAAGTTGGGACAATTTCTCCATGCAAAGAACAAACAGAATGGGGGAAATAGGGTCCCCCTGCTTGATGCCTCTCTCAGGAAAAATTTCCTTTGTAACCACCCCATTCCAGAGTAGCCTCATGGAAGATATAGATATACACTTATAAATCAGGAGAGCTAGGGATTCAGGCAGACCTATGTCCTCCAAGGTCTCCAGGATAAAGCTCCAATCCAGCCTGTCATATGCCTTCTCTAGATCTACCTTTATAATCATCCACCCTTGGCTACCCTTCTTATATCTCATAGAGTGAATAACCTCCTGAACTATGATGACATTATCACACCCTTGTCTACCTTTAATAAAACTACACTGATTAGGGGAGACAATTCTTGGAAGCAGATCCTTCAATCTCCCAGCAATGATTTTAGTTATGATTTTATAAACCACATTACACAAACTAATGGGTCTAAAATCTCTTATACTCTCAGAACTTTCCTTCTTAGGGATTAAACAAATTAAGGTGCCATTTATATCCCTAACTAACTTTGGATTATTGAAAACATCCACCACCAGTCTGCCAACAGAGTCACCAACAGTGTTCCACTGATTCTGGAAAAAAATGGTACTCAAACCATCATGGCCAGGGGCTTTAAATTTTCCCATCATAAAAACAATCCTTTTTATTTCCTCCTTAGATGGAACCAAAGCCAGCATCCTCATACCATACTCAGCCAACCTAGGAAACATCTTCTGAATAGGGAAAATATCTTCCCTCACACCCTCACTGATGAAGAGGCCTTGATAGAAAGAAACAGCCAACTGGACCAGACTCTCAGAATCAGCTATCCAGTTACCACCCTCATCTTTCAGAGTCACAATTCTATTGTGCCTTCTCCTAGCTACTGTTGATGCATGGAAAAATCTGGTATTTTTGTCACCAAATTTCAGCCAATGGTTACGAGATCTTTGAAACCATATGAGTTCTTCCTTAACCAGAATAGACTGAAGTTTCCTCCATAGTTCCTTCTGTAGCAGTTCAGTATTATGATCATACCTCCCATTCTTGTAAGAGTCCAGACCATTCAGCCGGGAATAAAGTCTATTTTTCTGTTTAAAGACCTCCTGGAAGACATTCTGGTGCCAAAAAGTAGCATCAACCTCAAATTTCCTCCTAGCAGTCAGCCAATCCCCATTCTCCCAACAACTCCTAACCAAATCCCCAAATCTAGAGTCAGTTAACCAAGCTGCCATGAATTTAAAACTTCTAGTGTGTTCCCTAGGAACAGAGATTCTCTCATCACATAAGAGAATAGGCCTGTGATCCGACCTGTAGAAGGGAAGATGGGACACAAACCTATTAGGCCAAGCAATGTTCCATGCCTCACTGGAACAGGCTTTATCCAGCCTCTCATGGAGTATACCCCTTTTCCAAGTAAAATCAGGGCCTTTGAACCCCATATCACTGACATTGCAATTAATCAGACACTGATTAAACTCATCCATACCCTTCCAACAAAGCTCCTGACTGCCAATCTTCTCAGAAGCATGAAGGATAGCATTAAAATCTCCCAGCACCAACCAAGGATCAGTCATGTCATAACTGATATCCTCCAATTCCAGCCACAAAGCTTTTCTCTCCATCCTCCTAGGACTCCCATAGATAAAAGTGATAAAATCAACCTTCTTTGAGTCCAGATAGGTCACCTTGGTATGGATAAATTGATGGTGGTGGATCAACACCTCCACATCCACTGAGTTTCCCTCCCAAAGCAGCCAAATACCTCAAGAAAAACCCACAGGATCCTTCCTAAAAAATCTTGAGAAGCCTAGCTTCCTAATAATATCATCT